TCGGTACTTTTGAGCACTGACGATTCGCGGGCCTACGGCCCGCTGCTCGCACGATCGTAGGGGCTCTAAAGTCTTTGCAAAACGGGCTTTAGGGGTGCTTTAGGGGGGCGCGTGCCTGTCAGCAGCCCGCGAGCAGCTTACGAGCTACTTGCCGGCAGTTTGCCGGCAGCTTGTGGGCTGCTTGTGGGCTGCTTGTGAGCTGCAGGCCCGGCAGCCCACCAGCTGCTTGTGAGCTGCACTCCCAGCAGCCTACGAGCAGCACGTCCGGCGGCTTGTGAGCTGCTTAAGAGCTGCCGACCCAACAGCACCTGAGCTGCTCAAATTCCCCCTCTTTATCTGAAGCCCTGTCCATATCCGAGAAGGACGCAGTCGCTTTCGTTTACTCGTCCCATGGCAATGAAGGCTTCTTCAAGGTGAAGGTAAAGAACAACAGTGCGAAGCCAGAAGCTCCCCAAAGCCATCAAAGGCTGCGGTTTCTCACATTCTAGACGTGTTGATTGTGCGCAACAGAGCTCGTCCGTATCTGAGAAGGACGAAGTCGCTTTGGCTTGCTTGCTTCCGAGACTTGGAGCTCGTTCCATGGCGAGGAAGGCTAGTAAGGAATAGCAATGCAAAGCCATAAGCTGCCAAAGCCATCAGAGGTCTACAAACTTCACCTGACGACGCCCTGCGATCGACAGCTCCGCGAGTCAGAAATCTATGCACAGTGACAGACCTCATGTGTTTGCGCAGACTGCGCGCAGACCTAGAAATGAATGCTTGCATATTGAAACCCACAGTTCCAGCTGCCACACAGGCATGGCTTAAGGTGGCCACGGGAGCGGGGGGTCCCTGGCTCCTCTTCGGCCCGGAGGTTTCTTTGCCAGGTATCGTTTTGGCGATTCTAGCGGCAAGTGCTGCACAGTGACTGGGACTGGGCTGGTCCTTGCGTTTGCGTTTGCGCATGGCTGTGACTCTGCTCCAGGCTCGTCTTGCTCGTCTTGGGGGGTGTCCCCCTCAGCCGTCTTCGTGCTTCTGCAGCCCAGTTTTGGTGCGCCTTCCTCATTTCACCTGCTCTCTCTCTTGCGTTCTCGTGCTCTGACACTGGCACTGGCAGAGTTGCGAACGGACCACAAAGCTGAAACAACATGCGAGTAAACAAGCCCAAGCCTGCGATGAGATGCAGAGCGAACGATGGGAGTGAAATTTCAAAGACACGGCTTCGACCTGACTCGGTCCAAGTGAAGTTGCTGGTGGCCGACGTGCTACCGCTACCGTGCAGCGGTTTGGGGCTCCCGGCACGTGCTTCGTCAGTGCGTGACTTCAGTAGAAGCTTCTCTGCGGAATCTCCTTCTGACGCTGCCTCCGAGAGCCGAGTCGCTCCGGCTACAGAGTCGCTTTATGCAAAGTCGGAAGGTCGGCGCCTCGGGCTTGAAAGAGGTGGTGTACTTCCCGAACTGGTCCTGCTCTGTACGCAAACTCAAAAATGCTGTCAAATGTTCTGTAGTTCCTTCAGTCGCCACTTCAGTGTGTCGGGCAAGCCGTCGATGGCATGCCATTTGATCTTGTGCGCCTAGTATGGAGGATGTGAGAAGTATGGCCAATGTGCACTGCTATGGTGACCTTGTAAACTCCGTGTAAGACTTGCTGCAACCGCCATGAAGGCTCTCGGTGATGATCGAGAAACCTTGCACACGGCTTTCGAAATCGCACCAAGCGAAAGGGCGCAAGTTGCAAACTCAGTGCAGGGCTGTGCCAAAGCCCGGCACCTGCACGGCTAGGATCATTACCCAAGAGGTGCGTAGGTGGTGCAATGCACCCGAGACATGCCTCGGGCTGATGCTGCTCATGTGGAGTCATTTGCTAAGTTGCCATACGGCCCAAGTCTCGCGAAAAAGCAAGGTCTCAAGTCATATGTGGTCTGTGGCGTCCTTGAGGATCACTGCCGAGTCTTTGCGTGGGTCGTCAGGGAACTTGGACCAGCTGGGACATGGTTGCAGCTTGACTTAGCTTTGAGCCTTCAAAAAAGCGTCCCTGTCGCTCGCCCAAACGGCACGGCATCAGACTCTATGCAAACGTATTTCGCTTGATGACTTGTGGCAGATTGCCGTAGCGGCCAAGTTATCCTCGACTCGTCGACATGCCCACGGCACATGCCACCTGCCGGTCTCCGTCATGAGCAGCAGCTACATTGGAAGATGGGACAAGAAGAAACAATCAATCGCCCATTCTACGGCCAGCCGGCAAGAAACCACGAAGGCCCGTCCACAGTAAGGTGCCCACAACAAGCTGCGTGATTTCCACAGCTGCAGAGCCATGTGGTCTTGCCTGCACGAATGAAATGCATGAAGACGGCTGGGATCACGACAAACCTTCTCCAGACGAGTGTGTGCCCACAGACCCCCCCCGGCCCCCCCGCGGTCAAGCCCACCAAAAGGGCGCTGCACCTGCGCTTGCGCAGTCGGCGCATTATGTAGAGACCTTGGACATCTTAGACAGGAGTAAAGGTGCGTCTCATGTGGCCTGCTGCTGACGAGATTGGGAAACAAAGCATGACAAAGCCGTATAGCTGAATGGTTCTGAATGGCGCTAAGTCATCGACGCCGCCGACCTCGACTCCTGTCAACAGCAGTACGGAGCCCTCCAGCTTGTGAACACATGAATGGTTCTTGATACATCTGTAACTCACGACTCCACGTCTCGTGATCGCAGACATCTTTTCGGACAGCGATGGATCGTCACAAAGCAATCTCGGCATTCAGAATGCAAAAGACCAGAGTGAAGCATTTGAGGGAGATTTTTTTTGCCTCCCGCCTGGCTGGGACGAACCTACGATGCAGGGTCACACTCGGGCAAACAGCACAACTCAACTAGGAGATGACCTTGCAATACTTGTGTATCCAACATCACAACGCCTCACAGCCCTTATCCAAGCCAGGCTGCCGTGTCACTCCCACAGCACACGTCCTATGTTCTGTTGACAAAGTTGAGCAGTTAAAAGAGCTGAGCATCGCTGCAGCAAAATAAGCCTTGCTCTCAGTCGCCGCTAGTGTTCAGCAGCCGCGGAGGCCATGGTGACTTAGACTCCGCTGCTCTGTACCGCACAACACGGAGTTCTGCCACGAGTGCGTGCTCGACTTTCAGCTGCCGTAGCCTCGCAGAGTTTTATACTCCGGCACCTCTGGGTGGTACCTGGGCTGGTTCTGCAATCCCTGCAGCTGGACCTCATAAAACAGAATGGCACACAGATGATCCGGCCACCTTGGCAACAGAGCAACATTCATCACACGCGGTACACCAATGGCGTCCTGGTCACTTTCGAAGCTCTGCGTTGAAGTACCGCCCTTAGTCTGAGCTCGAAGAGGGGCAGCTTCGGAGTCTAAGACAACATCAATTTCGAACATTCGGCATTCCTGGAATGCTTGGCAGTCCGGTTTCGTTTTGCGATGACACAAGCAGTGAAAAACAGCTTTGTGGCATGAAGTGCTGTGAAAATGCTCAGGAGGTCTTCGTCAAGGTCGGGCTCCTTCTCGAAGGGAAGCCTCAAGACGCAAGTGCAAGACGCAAATTTCTCATCACTGGAAGGCTTCGTCCCGAGAGGAAACGATGGGACGAAAAGGCAGCCAGTGCTCCCTCCGCTGTGCCGATGGAGACTTGGTCTGAACTTTGCGACAAAGTAGCACGACCACTTCTGGCGACGTAGTTTCCAATGTCTTGTCGCGAATGTCTGCGAGTAGCGGGTGGGCCAAGGCCTGTTCAAGGACTAAGTTTGCGTGGCGAATGTGTAGACTGGCCCTCACCACGCACTTGATTAGGCATGCCAAGTGAATCTGTAGCAAAGCTATCGTAAATCACCGCAGCCTTTGCTGACACGCTGGGTTCATTCATCTACAGCGATTGCTGAATAGGTGTCACAGAACCTCGCATCGCGATTGCAAGTGTCGGCTTGCCTCTTGCACCGAGATACGAGTCTTCGGATTGAAGATTAACCTAGCATTGCGTCAAGTGCACGAAAACTTCAATGAAAGCTGCTTTGCTTGTCGCAGGCATGTTTCGCAATGCTAAGCAATATTTGCAACAGGCTTCATCTTCTCAAGGATATCGATCATGCCAGCATCGATCTCCTCGAGGGACTATGCGGAGTGCATGCATGCCGATATGTAGAGCTTGTACGAGCATGTCTTAGAGTCTCGGAACAGTGCCAAGAGTCTTTGAATACTTTGCGCAATCCATCTCCAATTTGCTTCGGGAAGCAAGCTATGTAACCTCAGCGTCGCCATCAGCAGCCACGGCCTTTGTATGACCAGGCGGCACCATAGGACCCTAGACCTTGAAGGCAGGTTGCGCTTTGCATCCTCGCGCTCAATGCATGCATCAATGTCCTCGCAATAGGAACACTGGCACTAGCCCAGTTCCAGCACCCTGCAGATCGCATAAGAGCGTCCTTTTGCTCAGGAGTCCCCAACAGTCCAAAGATCTTTTTCAGCATGTCATGCTTGCCGTTGGTGTAGTATTTGTAGTCCTGGAAGAGCCAGCCCTAGATACAGCGCTCCCGGCATCCCGACTGTGCGTTCAGCATTTGCTTTCCTCGTGTGATAACCAGGCCTTCTTCGCTCCCCTTTGGATCATGCAACGCGACAGGACAACAGATCAATGACATTGACAAATTTTTGGCACCCACATGGCAACGTCAGCAGTGTCAATGTACAACCAAGTATGTGAAGAATTGAAATCAGTCAAAAGCGAAGAAGACCGAAATCTAGATGACATGCTGGAATCTGATTAACGCGGCATGACCGTAAAATTAACCGACCCTTTGCAAAAGTAGAACGGCGCAGCAGCCAAAGCAAGTGCAAACCAAAGAGCCGTTTTGCCACAATGAACACAAACTAAGACCACAGGAATTGAGCCAGAGTTAAAAGCGATGCTGTGGTTTTGACCTATCAGACTTCACATAGTCTATTGATTGTTGACATGCTAGCGACAACACAGTGAAAACATTATGGGAGAAAACATGAAAATGAAGCGCATGCCTCTGGTGGAGTTTCAGCCGAGATTAACGTACCTTGACCGCAAGCCCTAACCAAAACTTGACAAGACGCCTCTTGCCTTGCTCAGGGTTCTCGGAATGTGCTCCAACTTTGCACTGCGGGATGGCATGGTGCCAGGCTACTGGTGCCAATAGCCCAACAAGGCATGCATGCATGGGGCTAACTGTTTACTGTTGCAGCTGTAGTCGTTTTCGTGGCCCTAGAAGAAGTCCCGGGAGCAGAAGCGTTGGCGGTGGAGGCAACAGCAGAGCGAGGCACAAATTAGTTCAAGGTGGGCATAAACTCAGTCGTCCCACTCGTGGGTCCTCACATGTTCTCGCAGTGCAAGGGGCAGGCAGCCGCATCTGCAGCATTGTGGAACTGATGCTGTAGTGATTTGGGCTACGACATCGCAAGCCCGAGGAAACGAAGCAGGTGTCTGCTTCGTCTCAGAAGCCGTGTAGGATGATACCGATACATACATAGTTCGGGATGCTCGCTTATTCAAGGTGCTGGTCGACGTCTGAGGGCTGCTTTGTCGTCGAAATTTCTCGTCGAAGGTTCGAAAGGTTTGAGGCATTTGTTCTGAGATTATGGCTTTGAGCATATAACCGAAAGTGGCGCATTGAGTGCCACTAGCCCTAGCCAGTGTAGCCCAGGTACTGATTTGTGCTTGTGGTCTGGGGACAGCGGAAAGCAGGATCTGAGCAGCACAGCACACATGAATTGTAAGAGTTTCATCTGTGCTAAATGCTGGCATGGAGTAACTGCCAAGCTCCGCACGTCCCAGGAAACAAAGGTCCGCGGTCCAAGTAGCTTTTCCCGGCTTGTGGCAGCATGCCGAGGAGCTCTGCATAAATGCAGCCTGGGATGGTAGAAGCTTGTGGGTTAGCACCTGTTTGAAAGACTCAATTTGGCATACAACTTTGAACATAACACGTGGTGTGCGCAATGTCCTTGCCGGCTTCCATACGTGTATAGCACTTCCCCACGGCTTAGGTTCTGACCAACTGACCACACATCGATAGCCTCTGTATAGTTGTCCTGCCCCAAAGACAGAGATTCGGCTCATGCATCCACCTGCTGCGACAATGAACTCACCGGGGATAGGGGGCTGTCAAGGACCCCCGGGCTGCAAAGCCCACCCTTGCTGTTGGGCCTTGTGGGAGAAGTAGTGAAAGCGTTCACTACTCTTTGCTTTGCGTTGCTCGGGGTGAGAGCTGCAGGCAGTCCCTGCAGCCCGCGCGTTCGCGCTAACCCAACCAGTATTTTCACAGGATGGGCTCGACTGTACGAAGGCTCGGCTGTTCGGCCGTTGTGTGTTGGGCGAGGCCATTACTTGCTTGCTTGCTGGTGGGTAACGCGGGTGTCCGTGCTAGAGACGGTGGTCACAGTTGTGGTGTCCCCGTCGTTTGCGGGGTGTGCGGTCTTGCGAGGCTTCTACTCGTCTCACAACTGCCAGCTGTTGTGTCTCAAAGGGCGTCGATAACAACTCGAGGCCATTAAGTACTCTCTCTCTCTCTCGCTTGCTTGCTTGCTTGCTTGCTAGGCGTCTGTCTGGAGGAGGGAAAGCAAGTCCCCCGCCCTCTGCGCACAAGCACTACGCCAGTGCGTCCGAGTCTGTCTCTCTTTGCTTTGCTTATAGGGCATGGGGCGGGAGCAGCCCTCCCGTCCCGCGCGAATGTCTCTCTCTCTCTCTCTCTCGCTCGCTCTCGAGGTTCGGGCAAAACCAGCGCTACAGACATGGGCATCTACATCCGCTCACCGTCGCAATTCCTCCCAGGCCCCCTATGTAGGTCCTGAAGCAGAATAAGCTCCGGAGCCCGATACCATCGTGTCACCACATGCCTGGCCAAAAGTCCGAGCACGCAACTCGATGTGGTGAACTTGTTCTGAAATATGATACATGTCTTCTGCTGTAAGATCTCGGCCCCGTCAAGTTCTTGGCGGCCCTCTTCGTGTGCGGAACTTGTGGCAAGGGGGCCTTCCAATGTCTTCACAAGCGGTGCTGTCAGTCAGATCAAGCAGCTGCCAGCAGCTCTAAAGCTGCAGCGCCTGATCGCCATCCCGCGGCGTGTGGGGTAAATGCTTCAAGTGCTTCTGCTCGCCTGAAGCCGGAAAACTCGCTGCCACACCCCCAGTCTGCGACGCAAGTAGCCTTTGATAGCGCGGGACAGACCGAAGTCTCCGATCTTGACGGTGCAATCCTCGAAGGGCTTCATGTTTTGATGCGGCGGAGCTACGAGTAAAGTGTTGAAATCACAGCCGGGCCCGTCCTGGTTGACGAAGCAATTGGCCGGCTTCAGGTCCCGATGGTAGATGCCGGCTGAGTGAATGTAGTTCAAGCCTGGGCTCTCACGTGTGCACCACTTGCTCTAGTGATCAGAAGACAGGAAGGCCCTGACCCACGAGCAGATTGTACAAGAGAGTGTTAACCTTGCGAGAGCGGAGAGCGAAACAAAGTGTGAAAGGTGTGTCCTTCACAACATGAGATCATACCTGCACCTCATTGCGCAGAGCCAGTTTGCAGCCAAGCATCGTGAATTGGACTGAGTGTGACATCTTGCCTTGCGAGCAGACAAGCTGCATCGAGAAGCGGGCGGCCGTGATTCACATGTTGGCATATGTTGGCTTGTGTCATTTGGGCAATGCTGGCGATGTGAACATAGATTCGGGTTAAGCTTGTCGGACAAGACCTTGTCCGTTACGAGTGAGCAGCATTTTGTCTCGCCCTGTTCCGTGCTGACGGCAAGAATCAAGAAGAGTCTGCTGGGGCATGCTTTCCTGGCACAACGCTCGGGTCTGCGGTGGCGCAGACCGCTCTACCGTCGCTTGCGGGACTTGCCCTTACCTTACTGTGAATGCGTTGTTCACCTCGCCTCTGTACGAGAGATACCCTGGGCTGTTGAAGCAAGAACAAATCGAAGGCCGAAGTCTTTCTTACACCCCGTAAAAGCCGTAACAGTCAGAAGACATCACAGCACACCAATCCAGTAGTACTCGTAGCATCGATCAATCGTCTCGAGAAATCTCGAAACAAACAGGCTTAAGACGGGGCTGGAGAAGTTGCAGAAATCGGATTGCCTGCACAGCTTCTTCAAGTCTGAATCGCAGAGCTCCATTATCATGTAGATCTCCGTGAATTTGGCCATATCTCCTGCGGAACTCAACTAATCGACCGATAATGCAGCTAGCAAATCGAAAAAACGATCCCAACACCAACAGGCAGGGCCTGGAATGTAAAAGTCCGACACCTTGACAACATTCCTGAACGCAAGAGGCAGAAGACTGCGAAAGGATAAAGAACGATGTGTCCGTGAGTTCTGCAGGCAAGCAAGAATTTGCACAAATGGACGGCCTGTGACTCAGCTTGGACAAAATGCTTACCTGCAGGACGCTCCAGAAGCAGCATCCTCCAGACCTCAGCCTGCTAGCCTGCCTCTCTGAGAATGCGCTTGCAGTCAACGAGGTCTTCGAAGATGCGCTTGCACTTCTTTATAGCAACAGGCTGCCTCGGGCCGCAGGTTACCTACGCAGTGGCCCGACCCGCACATACTCACTCCATAACTCAATGTCGCACCGGACATCGGGGCCAGGGGGCCGCTGACCGTTGAAGTCATCTTCGGCCTCGCAAACACTGCCGTAGGAGCCGGAGCCGATAAGTTCTGTGACCTCAGAGGCACCAGGTTCACTTCGGGAGGCCTCAAGCCGCCTAAGGGCCTAAGCCCCACCTTGTAGCGGGAAGGGAGCTGCCAGCTCTCGCCTGGATGCCTTTCGCACAAAGGAACGAAAGGAGCGACGGCCTGCACTTCGCTACGCTACGCTACACGTGCAGTGGTGCAGCATGGTGCAGCCCTGGTTGCTTGGGAAGAGAAGGCATGTCCTGACAGCCAGTCAGGCACCCGGCACGAAAAGACCGAGGCCAGCCGCCAAGATGCACTTGCGTCGCTGGCGCTGGCCAGGAGCCACAGCAGAAGATTCTCGGAACTTTGGCGAGACTTGAGCCGATGTTGCGACTCGAGTGCACGTGAGACTGCAAGCACAACTGCTCACTGCTGCGGCTGCTGCCGGTGCCTGGCTGCATTTCGCCAAGAGAGGCGCATGGCTCGAAACTCCACCGGTCTGGCACTCGACCGCACTCGATATAACGTACGGTTCCATGTCTCGCAATGCTGAAACATGTTGCGCTTTCATCATGGAAGTGTAATGCAATGCATGCTAGCACTGCATCTTAGTGCAGGAAAAGATACCACCAAAAGCCCAAACCGACATCTTGCAGTCAGGGAGAGCAACAACGGGCAGTAGCATTTCATGGCACTAGCATTTCGATTTTCATGCCATGCATGCAAAATCAAGTTCAATTGTAGAGTAAAGTCTAACCAATGCGAATCCGGGTATGGAAGCTCAAGGTTCAAGCCTATCAGCACTAGATTATGCTTCCTAGATGTTTTGCGAAATGGTAGGTCCAGTGGGCCCCCGAATGTGAAAGCTGGTGTGAACCCCAAGCTACAAGTAAGACTTCACTATGCTTCGCTGGTGCTCACCCGCCTGAGTCGTTTAAGCTCCTTACTACACGGCACCTTGAAGCGAAGGCTCAGCAACTCATCGATCACATGCATCACCTGTCCACTTTGCAGCTGTGTGCAAACGATTCTGCGCATCAAACACAGTGTCTACATCCTGCACACGGCGTCGGACTGTTTGTTTGTGAATGTGATGGTACTATATATGGTGCAAGTACAGTAGCGCAAATTCAACGCCTTGCACAATCTGGAGGAACAGCGCAACAAGCGGCTTAATGGTAGCTACCTCCCACAAGGATGCATGTTGTCCAACTCGACTCTCGACAACCTGTCATGTTTAAGAAAATGTGGCTGGTGCCCCACATACCTACTAATGACCTGTTTGCCTCTTCTGTGGCATCTCAGCCGAATTAGCCGAGAGCGACGAAACAGGCCGCCAACGCCCGTCTAAGAAATTGACACGTGCTCTTATGGGTTTGATTCTTCCCTCTCGCATGGCAGGGATCGATGCCCACAACGAGGTTGCTTAGGAGTCTCTCACTGAGAACGGCTAATGTTGCATTGTCACAACAGCTTGTCACTTCCACTGTGCTGCTTTGATACTTTGGGTTTCATGGGGTTCTTTGCGAGAGGATTCGGGGTGGGCAGGTCATAGGCTTCGGGATCCGTTGGCCTGGCTCTCTGAGTGAGTGTGAAAGGTCTGGCATATTCGTTCAAGTTGATTAGGCTAGTCGTCATCTCAGCTGCCTCTCTGACGACTTCGACTTGGAGCACTTTCGAGAAAGCTGTGCTGTGAAAAGCCAGTTGGTGACTTTGCGGCGGCAGGGAAATTCGTGAATTGGGAGGCGCTCGAGAGCTGGTAATTTGGCGGGGCCGTGAGGCCGGTGAGTTGGCGAATGGTGGCGAGAAAAAAAACTGGAACATGCATGTCCGTGGCTTCCTGGAAGCACTGTCGGATAGCGCGTGGTTGATCTCGAGATGGCCTACACTTTGTCAGCAGAACTGTCCACATGCGACCTGACCTTCCAAACATTGTGACGGCACTCTGAATCTGGGACATGATGTGCGCCTGAAGGATGACTTAATCAAGCTGACTGCATCAAACTTGCAAAGCATCAGAAACGTGCGACGGTAGCTAGTGCAAGCACCCGCACTTCCAAGGAGAATGGTGAACCCACCATGGTCGACCACCGGCACGGTCGCGTCACTCGCTAGACTATCATGTCGTAAAGAAGCCATGGTGAATCTTTGTCGCCGCGGCACTGGGTTCGACACATTATGTACATTTGAGTGGCCAGACCACCACTCGATGCATCGACACATGCAGCAACTACAGCAAATGTTGAAAATTAGTTGCCTCCGTGCATGAAACTCCCGCAGAGCTGTTTCGCCCTCATGCTCCATCTAGAAATCTGGCAGGCGATCACGTTGCCAATCCTGTGCAAATGCAACTCCGAGCGGCTCTGAACAAACCTGATAGGGCGAACAGCATGTCCTGAATCAGCTGCTGGAAGGAACCTCGATCCAAGCTAGCTTGCAGTGCCTCAAAGCAGGTGGGCCCACAACCCACACCCCTGAGGCAGCGAACAAATCCATGCAGACCGGCGTGGCCATTCCTGACCTTGGCCGACGCAGGACCTATACGTATCTGGCTACAGGGCACGAAAGGCCCGCGAAATTCCCCACGCCGGTGGTGGCAGGTCATAAACCCCAGCTATCCTCCTCTTCCTGAGCTAGTGCGCAACCCGTTTTCGAGTGGAGCGGGTTGTAGAGACACGGTGCGACCCCGATGGACACAAAGCAGCAAACCTGCAAATGAATCATCCTAAGTGCGGGTGCTCGCGTGTCGCCATCCCCAGCCATCTGTGCTAGTTGCACAAGGATCTTTGCGAAGTCCTCAAAATCTCACAACAGCTGCAACCTACATCAAGTACCCTCGATGCAGCTAGGCTGGCTGGCTACAGGCTACAGGTCCCCCACGGGGGGTGGGCTTGGCCCCCCCATGTAGCGGCTGTATCCTCGGCGTCTCTTAGTCCTGGCATCCCCCCTGACCGGCGCGCAAGGGCGAAGCCGGGCAAGGTTGTCCAGGAGAAGGTTGAGGGTCGTGAGTATCGTGAGGGTCGTGCGCCTGGACGAAGTCCCCCATGGCGTTGTTCCAGGTTTGCCTATCTGCTGCCAACCTCATATACCTCATCCAATCGTCGCCAGCATCGGAAGTGATGTGGCTTTCGACATCGAGCGCTGGACAGAGCCGTTCCGCATCCCTCGGCGAAGCGCTTGCTCCCCCGCCACCACTTGATCGGGCGCGCCTCTCAAACAACCTCCTGAGGGAACATTGTCGCCTGGCGACGTGCCCATGCATGGAGCTTCCAGACAGATTCCAGCACAAACGTGCTCCATCTCCTCCCGGCCGACTTCCGCAACAGGCGGATGCGTGCCCGCAAGCTCCGTTTGTTCCATGTAGGCCAATCTTCACCAGGTCGGCGATTGTGTCCCAAGGCTTTACGCAGGAGTTGAAGTTGGATCGTGTTAATCCCCTTGAGCAGGGCGTCGTTGACAGGCCACGTCGCGCACCCCCACAATGCCGCCGGCCGGACAATCTTCATAATCCCCCGGAGCTTCTCGTCCAAGGAGTTCTTGCTGCAGAAGATAGCTTTATTGGCGTGCGAGCCTTTTCGCTGGCCCCCGCGAGGATGACCGCTGGGATGGCACGTTATCAAAAAAAAGCGGGGAGCCGAGGACCTGCATGATCGTGTCCCCCCCTTCGACTGCATCGTCTGCTTTGTTACTGCTGGCCTGTGTCTTCTTGGCGTTCAGGACGAACCCCTTATTGAGTAGCTTGGCTTCGAGGAGTCGAAAAAGGCCAACACCAGCCAGGTTCCGTTGTGGCTCCAAAGGCATGTATCATCAAAGAAGGATGCTCCACCGTCCGGACCGGGAGGGAGTTTAGGATCTTCGCCCTGCCGACTTGTGGGCTTCATCTCTTCGATGACTTCGTCCAGCGTCTCCCCGATTGATGCGCTGAAGACGAAGGGGCCCGAAGGGGCTATCTGGGGAACCCTGTCGTACTCCGTTGGTTTGGTCGATGGTGATCTCCTCCCCGCAAGCGAGCATGACCATGGAGCGGGCTTGAATGAGGCTCATCCACAGAAGGGCTTCCATGGCTTTCTCGTTTGTCCCCCACTTCCCTGGCGATCAACTTCCCCATGTGGAGCCGCGAGATGCTGTCGAAGGCCCTTGCCACATCGAGCTTGATGACGTAGAGTGTATCGCCCCAATCTTTGGCTGCCCGCAACAGGCGTCGCATCCCCAGGATCAGCTTGGCTGCCTCCCATTGCATGGTGTTCCCACTTGGTTGATTTCCCCCGGCCACGATGCATGGAGAAGAAGTTGGGCCAACCACTTGAGAGAGCCGAACTCAGCATGATGTGTCGGGTTTCCCCAGGTCTTAGGGGCGACGGTCTTGGGGAGGAGCTGTGATGCCCTTCCCCGATAGAGCCCGTCGTTGAACGTGGCCAGGAGCCGTGCCTTCCGCTTCTCTGTCTCAAGCAAGTAGGCCAGCGCTTCATGGGCCACCCCGTCTTCACGGTGGCCTTCCCCCATGGTCCACGTAGACATGCTCCGTGAAGGGAGTCATAGGGTGTATGCTTGCAGAGTCTGAACGGTGTCCCCCCACTCCCCCGCTTCTTCCAAGGGCTGCTCTTTAGCATGCTTGATGAGGTCCTTCTGGGTTCTCCTGCAGGCGTAGACTGTTTGTGCAACCCCTTGCTCGTTCGGCCAGTGCTCGCTGCTCCGCTCGGCGGAGTTGGCAAACGGCCTCCCAAAGCCTGCGGCGGTCCTCTCCGGGTCCGGTTCGCAGAAAGCTTCCCAGCGCAGGCGCTTCAATTGTGCGCTGTCGACGAACTTCTCCCCCTTGCGCGGTTGGCTGATGCAAGCTTGGTGATGGTCTTCTTGCGCCTCCAAGGCCTGCCCCATACGCTCGACCGCCTTCTTGGACGTTTGTAGCTGACGCGGCCCCCACTGTCCCCTCTTGGGCCGTTTTGGCATGTGTCTCAGTTCCAGGACAGCGAGGATGGGCTGGCCTTGTTGAGTGACAAGTATTTGGGTCACCAGATGGTCGAGTCGACGCGATTGCAGAGTTGTGTTGTCGGATGGCGACTACCTCGCAGCAAAGGGAGTGGGGGGGTGGAAATGGGTACTCCGTAGAGGGTTAGGGGGGTTGAAGGACTCTCGCCGAATACACGGCTGTCGCACGTCCCCCCGGCACCGAGTCTGTTGTTCCCTTCTATCTAGCAGGCCCAACACAATACCGTCGTCAAAGCAAACTGCCTGCAGGGATGGCCTTTTAATCGAATCATAAAGGCAAGAACTCAGGGATGGTCTAAAGACAAGTCGCGATCTAGTGTCCCCCTATCCCCCGGTACCTATTTCTTTTCCCCGAAATGGTACCGGAAATAGGTGGCACGGTAGGTAACCCCCCCTAGCCAGGACCTTTACGAGGGGGCAATCATTGCGGAGGGAGCCCCCCTGGCTGCGTTTGCTACCGCCCCCTCGGAAAACTCCTCGTTCGCGTCCATCCCACACAAGGGTTTCTGGCGTGTGTCCAGCGAGGCCACGGCTTCCCCCAAGAGTTGTGCCGTTTGGTCCACAGTAGCACGGTGTGGCACATGGAGGGAGAGCGCGTTGAACCGAAAGTCTTCCACGAGCAGTGTGGCTCGGTACGCATTGTGTTGGTGCCAAGATGTGCCAATGCGCCAGGGGGTCCGTGCGATACGCCAATGCCACTGCTCTGCATTCCCCGCTTCCCGATGTCCCAGCAGCTGCCACTTCTGGAAGCAAACTTTGGTGTCCCTTAGTGGGAGAGAAACGTCTTGCCAAAACCAAATGTGAATTCCTGCCAGTTCGCAGATCTTGTCCAAGGAGTCGAGCAACAGCAAGGTCATGTCGGGCCCGCCCCCTCCAATGTTCCAAGTCCCGATGCCCAAGTCGACCACCTTGAGGGGTTCGCCCCGGTGTCGGTGAAACTGTCTTTCGCCACGGTGTTGCCAACGGAGGGCAGCCGCGAGCGGCTGCCATGCATCCTTCACCTGCTGCTCTCCCATGCCCAGGTTCCGTGCTGGCCAGGTCGCTCGGCCAGGTCGATTCAATTCAATCGCATCATCCCCTTGATTGGGTGCGGTACCAGAGCAGATTCGTCCCCGTTGTACCAGGCCGTGCCGGTGGAGTGAAGATTGGCACTCCCCCCAAGCTCCATGACCAGCCTCTTAGTTTTGGCCGCGAGCTCGGCTCGCTTGCGCTTCGCGGGGGACTGGCTGATGGCAAGCCAAAGGCGGCTGTGGCTCCCGTCCCCCCTTTGCCCCAAAACGACGTTGGCCGTACGAACTCTTTGCATCTTCATGGGATCCCCCCTACAGGCCGAGAACGAGATGATCGCGTAACCTCTGCGGCGTCCAAGCACAAATGTTTCCTCGGCGTCGATGTCGAGCTGGAGTCCACGGATAACGTCCTGCACCTTAGTCAGCGTTTCGTCCGCCGGCTGATCGGGGTCCCATCCCCAAAAAACGAGAGCACACTTGCGGTTGCCGGCCGAGGCTGTTGCTCCCCCCAGACTGGGTCCCTCCTCCACTCTCCAACGTCTGCCGGCGCGCCTCCAGCTCCACGATGCGGTTGGCCAAGGCATGCGTCTCCCCCGCGACCGCCTCGAGTCTTTGTCCATGGCACGTCCACCTCATCCCCCAACTTGCCCAACAAGGTCTTCTCGATGTCGTCCGCTCTGGCATTGACCTGGTTCATGGCTCGTTGGATCTCGTCGGTAAGCACGTGTCTCTCCTGTTGCAGCTGCATTTGGAGGGTCTGCAATCGCTTCCATGGTCACTGATTCCTCCACCCCCTTCTGGCGATCCCACAGCTTGGCGGGTGCGCTTTTGAGGTGATCCTGCCGGCGGGTTCGCCCCTGCACCATCAAACATGAGGTTGAGCATGTCCGTGCTGCGCCCGTCCCCCTGTAACGGGTGTGACGGCGTGTCATAGATCGAGGTAGGCGTACGGGTAGGCACCGGTGAGGACGTTGGGGACGTTATGGCTGCGTGCAAAGCCACCAAGCGGCAAGGGGCAGTCGTAGTCCCCGTAGAGGCAGCACGGGCTCGCCGATCCCCCCCAGAAGATGGGCCGGGTTTTGGCCACTCTCTCTCTCTCTCTCTCTTTCTTTCTTTCTTTCTTTCATTGGGCGTAGGGGGCGTTTCAAACCCCCTGGCCTTGTGGCCCCCCGTGTGTTATGGGGCGGCAGGGGAGCAAGTAGTTTCGGGGATGATGTCTACGTGAGCGGAGGCAAGAAAAATGCACTATCTCTATTCTATGCTATTCTCCGGGGCATAGGGTGCTGTCCAGGCACCCCGCGCCGAGAGGCGCACCCCTGTTTCGGGGCTTTGTAGGGGCAGTAGAAAAGTATGGATGCTCGGTCTGCGGAGAGAAAAAGGTACAGTTGCCAGGTGAAGAGGTAAGTAGGTTACATGTCACAAAAACCTCCGAGCTTCCCCCTACCCTACAGCAATTGCCTGACAAGGGAATGTGGGGCTGTTTCCCCCGACTGTGTCCCCTGCAAAGGTAATGGCCTGCTAATCATCGACATGCAGAACACATACATCAACTAACGCACTATCTTTGCTTTGCTTTGCTTAGGGCTTGAGGCGGGGGCAGGCCCCCGGTCCCGCGCGCAAGCGCTGCCCCATCCATCATTGCGCTCTCTCTCTCTCTCTCTCTCTCTCTCTGTATCTCTCTCTACCAGGACAGAGAGGGTGGGCA